GATAGCTGATATTGATATTTATAGCTGTAATTAGTTAGGGTATAATTATATATAAGTGCACAATCAGTTCTAATCCACTTATAACATCTTTTGGGGGATTTACCAGTTTATAGATGAAGTTGTTAGTTAACACCAATACAAAGACCATAAGTGGTGTGGAGAGATCAAATGGGAAATGATAGAAGGAATCCACAGGGTACTGGCTGAGTGTAGATGACTAAGCTGCCAAAGTAATGAAGCCATAAAAAGGGCAAGCTATTATTAAAAGGTCCCAATATGAGTTCTGGAATTCTGTGCACAGTTCTCAATAATGAAGACAGATGAGCTAAACCTCAAAGAGGTGATGAAAAAGGGCTGCTAAAATGATTGGGACTGTGTGACTTTTAGAGTAGGCATAGGTAACTGGGTTTAACCTTAAAGTGCTTAGTCAACACCAGTTAAAATGTTTTTCTAGGCTCTAGTCTGTTCACGGAATACTGCCACTGCATACTAAATCCTGGGCATAAAGAGGTCAAAAGTTTGGGGTTTTTTGTTTGTTTGTTTGTTTGTTTTTTATTTCTTTATGGCATGTTTGCAGAAGCAAAAATTTGGACTGGATCCAGGAGGTTTTCTGGGATTAGTCAGCATTAACTAAAAATAAAATCTTCCCTCTGATGCATTTACTTGTTTTTTTCCCCTGCAAAAGACACTGAATACAGTGGGTAATATTGCTGAAGGGGCAGGAGACATTTTTAATGATCCCAGGAAGAAAAGCATAATTGGAGTCTTGCAACAAACTAGGGAAAGCCTGAAGAAACTCTTTGTGCTGTACTCATATTTAGCAATGCGAGAAAGTCTGAGCACAAATCTAGACTGTGCGGAGGCTGAAGAAAGAAAATATCTTCTCAGGTTGTTGAGCGATTGTTGTCCATTGTATTAGAGGTCAGGTTTCCTTTCAACCTCTCATGATGTACTTAATGAATATGCATTTTATCTCAAGTAAATTCTGTGTATGAGTTGTGGTAATTTTGATTTCTAGTTTGAGCTAGTCTTATAAGTTAACTAAGATTGTCACTGTTGGTTGTCAGAAGTAGAATGGAGTGTGTAACGCAAGTAACCACTGTCTCTGGTCTGTGCTTTTTCCTCCAGAAGTGTCCTGGCAGACAAATATATCAAATAATGTGGACATGACAAATCACTTTTTTTTTTTTAAACTAAGGTTAAAAAAAGTTTAGACTTGCTATTTAAATCTGTTACCAATAGTAGATACAGTTGAAAGAGACCAACATGAAAAGATAGCTGTGTGTGTTACTTAAATTCTCAACTGGCATGCATAATAGAAGTTAATTTGACACTGCAGCAGTACCGTGTACCTGTAGTTATGTATAGCCTGGTCCCCCTCACTGTAAAACATACCAACTGCACAACTGCACACACAGCTCAAGGTATGGCTTTTTTCCTTATATTAGAAAGAATAGACTGATGATGATCTTGTGGATTCACTATAACCTTGAACGAAGATGGAATCTTAACCACTGCAATTCAGACCTACTCAGGCTACCTACTTTTCAGTGGCAAGTGTTAACTGAACTCTCAAAGCTTACCACAGGTTCCTTACTCTGTATTGTGAGGTATTTGTTCTGTCGGTTGAAATATCTTACAATAAAGCGTTAGACATTGCTAAAGTAAGTAGATGTAGTTCCATTCCAAAACCTCATCAATTTAAAGTCAAACATAAATTTGAAATGCTTGCTTTTATAAATCTGCCACCGAGGGGAGAGTTTTGGTTTAGAAACAGTTTAAGATTAGAGCATAGCAGTAGCTAATGTCAAACTTGCTATTTAGCAAACTGGATAAATCTAAGGAGGTGACAGATCTGGTAATAGAATCATAGAATGGTTTGGGTTGGAAGGGACCTTTAAAGATCATCTAGTTCAATTCCACCACTGTGGGCAGGGACATCTTTCAGTAGATCAGGTTGCTCAAAGCCCCATCCAACCTGGCCTTGCACACTTCCAGGGAGGGGGCATCCACAAGTTCTCAACCCAACCTGTTTCAATGTCCCACCACCCACATAGTAAAAAATGTCTTTGTTATGTCCAATCTAAACATACCCTCTTTCAGTTTAAAGCTGTTGCCCTTTGTCCTGTCACTACAGGCCCTGGTAAAAAGTCTCTCTCCATCTTTCTTATAAGCCCCCTTTAAGTATTGAAAGGCCACAATAAGGTCTCCCCAGAGCCTTCTCTTCTCCAGGCTGAACAACCCCAGCTCTCTCAGCCTTTCTTCATAGGAGAGGTGTTCCAGCCCTCTGATCATTCTCGTGGCCCTTCCTCTGGACCCGCTCCAACAGGTCCATGTCTTTCTTGTACTGGGGACTCCAGAGTTGGATGCAGCACTCCAGGTGGGGTCTCACCAGAGCAGAGTAGAGGGGCAGAATCACCTCCCTCGACCTGCTGGCCACGCTTCTTTGTATGCAGCCCAGGATACGATTGGCTTTCTGGGCTGCAAGCGCACATTGCCGGCTCATGTCCAATTTTTCATCCCCCAGTACCCCCAAGTCCTTCTCTGCAGGGCTGCTCTCAATCCCTTCATCCCCCAGTCTGCATTGACACTGGGGATTGCCCTGACCCAGGTGCAGGCCCTTGCACTTGGCCTTGTTGAACTTCATGAGGTTCACATGGCCCGGCCCCACTCCTCAAGCCTGTCAAGGTCCCTCCAATTTAGAGAGAAGGATATTGTGGGGGACCGTATCAAAGGCCTTACAGAAGTCCAGGTAGATAACATCCGTAGCTCTTGCCTTGTCTGCTGATGCAGTCCCTCCATCATAGAAGGCCACCAGATTAGTCAGGCAGGATTTGCCCTTGGAGAAGCCATGTTGGCTGTCTCTAATCATCTCCCTGTCTTCCATATGCTTTGACATGTCTTCCAGGAGGATCCGCTCCATGATCTTACCATGCACGGAGGCGAGGCTGACTGGTCGGTAGTTCCCAGGGTCCTCCTTTCTACCCTTTTTAAAAATGGGTGTGATGTTTCCCTTTTTTCCAGTCACTGGGGGCTTCACTTGACTGCCATGACTTTTCAAATATGATGGAGAGCGGCTTGGCAGGTACACCACACCATTCCCTTCAAGGGCTTGAGAGATGTGGGAAGAGAGATTACCATTGAAAACAGGCAAAAAAATTGTTGAGTACCTCAGCCTTCTCCATGTGGATTGTCACCAGATCCCATGTCTCATTTTATTGGGGGGGTACGTTTTCTTTAATCTTCCTTTTCTGGTCAACATACCTGTAGAAGTCCTTCTAATTATTCTTTGCATCCCTTGCCAAGTTCAGCTCCAACCGTGCCTTACCCATCCCTACATATCTGGGCAGGGTCCCTATATTCTTTCCAGGATACACGTCCCTGCTTCTACTGCCTGTGCATTTCCTTCTTACACTTTAGTTTGATCTCCTGCCTTCCTTGCCCAATTTCCTACATGTGGGAATTGAGAGCTCTTGCAAGAGCTGCCAGCTCTGTTCAGCTCCTTTGTCCCTGAGGGCAGTGCTTAAGGTTCATAGAACGTTAATAGAACCTTAAGGTTAATAAAACCTTAAGTGCTTTAGAGCAGGATGTGCTGCCTTCTTCCAAAGCTTGTCATTGAACTAACTGAAAGAAAACAACCTTGCTTATAACGTTTTCAGCATTCCCAACATTCTTCTCAAATGTACTGTTAAAAAGAGACTGCAGCATCTACAGTATGGGACATAATCATAGTTGTGTTACTTAACCTGTTGCTGCAACTGCTGATCCTGCAGCTATAATCTTAGACTAGATTACTGTGACTAATGTACATGAGGACTGCTGAGAATAATTAAAAAACCCCAAAACTTCAAGTAGTTATATGCTGTCCAAAGCTAGGTTGAAGTATTTCATTGTACTGGATCTGTCTGGGATGAAGTTAACTTTCTTCATAGCAGCCCATATGGTGCTGTGATTTGGATTTGTGACTGCAACAATCTTGACAACACACCAGTGTTTTGGCTATTGCTGAACAGTGTTAGCACAGTGTCCAGGCTTTCTGTTTTTCCCACTCTGCCCCACCGAGGAGTAGGCTAGGGAGTGAGCAGGAAATTTGGAGGGGACACAGCTGGGACAGCTGACCTGAACTGGCCAAAGGGATATTCCATTCCATATAATGTCATGATCAGCAATAAAAGTGGAGGGAAGGGGTTTTTTTGGGGGGGAAGGTAGCTGTTGTTCAGAGACTGGCTGGACATCAGTCTGCTTCTGGGAGGTGGTGAGTGATTGCCTTTGCATCACTTGTTCTGTTTTTCTTTTCTTCATCTTTCCTTTCTCAACCCCTGAGTTTTCTTGCTTTTGCTCTTCCTTGTTCTCTCCCAAAAAAGGGGTGGGTAAACCACAACATTAATTTTCACACACTGTTTTAGGAAATAAGTAGTGGTGTCAATTTTTTAATATACATACCTAAATGCAACTTTGAGATTTACCTACAGTCATTTTTATCAATGCATTTTATACATAGTAGATAAATAGCCAACCATATCTGTTATCCAAATTTCATTTTTACAGTGTTCTATTACTTGCACCCAAAGTTAGCCAGTTTCCATAAAGAGTCTATTGACAGCTTGATTATTTTAAAAACTCATTTTTCAGGTTTAAAAATAAGATTCGTGGTAGCCTTACATTACACACAAGACCAACCAATACATATTTTATAAAATGGTTTAATGGATGCATGCATATCTGATACAGTGATAATAAATTTACTGAATTCTAATTAATCACTGTTGTAAACATTTTACAAAAGCATTGTGATTTACCTGGATGGATACACAGTCCTTGATGGAAGAATTATTTAGACTGAATCATTGGCACATTAAAGAATAAAGCTGACAAGATCCCTTCTGCATATTCTTTTGACATGATTCCAGCAAGAGAAAGAACATGGTATAAAAAGTATACAGGAAAGATTGTTCTTACCATAACCATCAAACTCTGGAAATTGTAAATACAAGTTCGAGTGGTTGAAACAGTCAAAGTCATAATAATTGTAACCAGTCAGAAATTACAGTAAGAAATGTTATCCAGTTACATGTAGCTGTCAAAACAATGCATTTCTTTCCTTGTCAGTTGATAATTCTTTTCCAACAAGACAGAAAAGCTTTGACAACTGCAGGTGTTGAAAATAATTTTCAAAGTTCAAGACAGTCACAGCATTTTCTTTGCGGAAGGTAAACTGTACACCAAGGCTCAGAGACTGTAAAAACTGGTTTCAAGTGGAAAAAAGTGCAAATATCCTGCACAGATAGTTTAAAAATCTGCTGGTACAATCATTCACTAACAGAATCTTTGTTTTCTTTTTGCATAGTTCACACATCACTGGGAATGTGATAGGGTGTGCTATTTTTGGCAAGAGCAAAAAAAGTGATACTTCTGTGAGTTGCCATGTTAGACATGCTGGATCCACGCAGAATTCAGGTAGAGGGCTGCTACCTGATGTTATTAGACACTGAATATTGATTTTGTTTTTGTTGAAGCAGTTCTGTAATAGCCAACAGCTTCTTAAGAACATGCTGCAGAAAAAAACAAAAACAAACAAAAAACCCCAGTACAACCCTACATTAGCAACTAAAAAAAACCCAAAACCCATCTTGCTTGAGAAGCATCTTCAACATTAACCTACCAGACTTAGAATTAGGTAGTTTAAAATATATTTAACCTGAAATTTATCTGCACCCATGGAGACCCATTAAGTCTTGCCAACTTAACCTGAGAGTTTCAAAATGAAAGAGAGTTCTCCTATCTGTTAAAAACAATCTGTAAACCAAAAGTCCATTCTTGGGTATTTTCCCCATGTGAAAGTGCAGAACTGGGCCAAGAAAATGAAAAAAAAGTCCGGTGACAAAAAAAAAAGGTGATAATACAATTCACTTCTGCACAAGCAGAACTACCCTCTTTTAACTTTCTGAAAACCTGGTCATTAAACTAAACCAAATGCAACTGAACATACACATAAAACAGGCTGAGAAATTGTATTGCTAACGCGCTGTCAGGAGTTCAATTATTTTTTCATTATAAGTAGAACTATGTTCAACTACAAACTTCTACTATCCTGCCTTGCCAGACTAGCCATCATTTTTTCTTTGTCAAGACTAGCAGTAGCTGTAAGTGAATTGTGAACTTGAACATGATTGGGTTTTTTCCCTCATATCCCACTGAAGAGGTAAATTGTAGTAGTTATTAAAATGGATTCGTTTTGAACTGCTATAATGAAGCATTATCTCATTTTTAATTCCTTGAGCTTTCTTCTGCCAAAGATGATTAAATACAAATATATTTTCACCTTTTTGCAAAATCACCATAAGAGTTCCCAGTAATCCCCTTATTTAAAAAATGTTACTGCTGAAAAATGCATTATTTGAGTAACATCTGCTGCCAGGAGAAAGAAATATAGATTTATCATCTACCTGGGTTTAAATTAAGGCCTTCAAAGAGTCAGGATATAGGAAGCCCAGTCTTTAAACCATGAGAATAAGAAATCTGATTACAAGAAGTTATTTTGAAACAATTAAATTAAAAACTATTTTAAAAACTACCTCTTGAAAATGAGTCATTAAATATATAGTTTAAGCTGATACTGATTAAATTTAAGGAAGACCATCTGTAAACAAAAAGGCTTTCTATAGTACAACTGCCCCTGTCCCCAAATCATTAGCATTAAAAAGGGAAGACTACTTAAATTATCTCCTGCACAGCACAGTATACTAGTCAAGCATACCAAAACATATAAACATATTACTGTTCAGTAAGTAGAACTGCCGACTTGAGTTCATCATAATTAGTAGACCATAGGCAAGTATATTACTTTTGTAGTATTTTGAGACAATGCATGAAGTCATGTGAATTTTTTCCTCTTAAAAAATAAGTTTTCATAAAAGCTGTATAGAAATTTAATAGTTGGAACAGAACACTCATTTATAGTGTTTGCTAGAGAAGTTTGCCATGTTTGTTTACAAACGTAATAAATCAGGAAGCAGAAATGAAGTAGTGATAGAAAGCGAAGGAAATTAAATTTAGTTATTTAGTTCTCAATTAGAACTAGATCCTAAAACTAGAGCCTGTCAGGAGACAGTAATTTCTTGGGTTTAGGCTTCCTCTAGAAACTAAAAACTTCACCTGGAAATTAAACAAAAAAAAAGAAAAAAAGAAAAAACCCAAACAAAACAAACCAAACCAAACCAAAAAAAACCCAACAAAACAAAAAACCACCAAAAAAAACAACCAAAAAACCCCAACCCACTGCTTTAAAACATCTTTGGTTTTGTTGTATAAATACTTAGTTCATAGTTTTGAGCTTCTTTAACTTTACAACTAGCAACCTCCTGGTGAAATGTACATATTATTTATCACTCATACTGCTGGACAGAAAAATTACAAAAGAAACACGATATTAAGCAATAGCTCAAGATATGCTATCTGTACCTGTGATTTTTGTTAACCATTGTAGTTTACCTGCATTACACCTCGCTCATTACTGAGTGTCCGAAGTTCATCTGAATGTGCCACACACATCTCATGCAAGGCTGCCAGATAACGAGATAAGTCAGTTCTGGAGTGCTCTGTAGTGTCTGGAAGCTCAGGAACATTCTTTAACAAAAATTATGAGAGCAGACTTAGAATGGTGAGTAGCCAGGCATATAAGAAATTAAATTACAGTTCTACAGACCCGCCAACAGCTGTTTTGATACTGCAAACAAGTACTGCAATGTTTTTCTTCACAATTAAGTCTTCTGTCCATGTTATCTAATACAAATTATATATTTCCTCCTCTCCACGAGCATCTATTTTAATTATGGTTACACATTTCACATGGAGAGATTACTAAATATATAGCAATTCCTATTCCTACTAGGAGGGTTCTACTAAAAGGTTTGATGTTGCTATGCTACCTCTGAGCTGGCCAGAAAGACACTGAGAAAAGGGATTCATATTATATCCTCCCCCCAAATGAGGGGGATCCATCCATTAGGTGTTGTTTGCTTTTTTTTAAATTTAAATCAGACAATAGCAGCAGCAAAAATGGACACCAAAAAACCCCCCAAACTATCAAGTCAGTAAATCCACTAATAAAATAATATAATTAAAACAGTAGATTAATCAGTTAGTTATTTTAAAACCCAACAGTTTTCTGAGTCCTCATGCATAATCTGCCATTTAAAGAAAAAACCCAGTATATCATAATATGCAGAAGTTGCCATTTAACCAGAAAAAGGTGACATATGGCAATCCACCTGAATGACACACTTCAAAACACTCATTCTTATAGATTATCAAAATAGTCTGAGATGTCTTCTAGGTCACTTTTAATGGATCAATTCAGGAAGCTAGGCACATTTCTTTCATCTTCATTTTTAAAACAAATTCTTGGTTTAAACATATACATATATACGCAAATGAGCTCCTAACTCTTCTTATAGCTATCATACACAAAACAGTAACAATTTCAAAGTGAACTGCAATTATTATTTTCTTTTAAACTACAATTCATGCAGCGAGACATTTGGCAATGTATAACTAAAATGGAACATAATATTTTTTAAAACTTCAATTTTTTCAATCTCGGGTCAAAACCACATGACAAATTACACATAAGAATTTTTTGTTTTAAAATATTTTTTTAAAAGATTGGTATTTTTGGCCAAAAGCCCTAATCCTCGGGGAGAAGCTCAAATAGATCTCATGTCTACAGCAGTATTAAATGAATAAAATCTTTCTAACAGGACATTTGATTGGTTTTAATTCTGTGTGACAGGCCAGCAATCTGCAGTTCCTAAACACGCATAAGAAAAATTTTTCAGTAACAAGCATTCAAAATTGTGTGGAAGCTGATGCATTTTTGAGCTAGTTAACAAGAACTGTAAAGAATTTTAATTTACAATATTGCTATCCAATATTTTTTTTTAAACCACTTACCCCAAGTTCATCTAAGAACATGATCATGCGATGTTTGTTACTCTTGATGAATGGATTTACCCCCTCCATATACGGCTCCTAGTAATTTTTGAAAGTATTTGTTAGAACAAATCAATACCAATTTAATAGTCATACCTGAAGTGAACACATTGTAATCAGAGACAAATGACACTGCAAAACACAAATGTGTCATCTGGAGTGATTTTATTTTTTCAAGTGAATTTATAATGACTGGTGTACAACCAGACAAAAGATTACACTTTTTTGTATTCCAGATGGATTCTTAAATTGTTTATATATGCATTGTGACATGAAATTTTACATTTCTGAAATATTGAAGATGGACTTCTTTTTTTCATTGCAGCTATATAATGGAGAAAACACTTTCAGAGGTAACATCAGGACATAAGCGCCCTCCTTCTCGTTCTTTCGTTAATGCTTACATTCCAAGTTGTGAGTATCAGACAAATGGCTTTATAATGGCAGCCTGAACTCGCTTGCTTTCATTATGCTTAAGTCAACAGATTTTTATTGTTCAACCATGTTGCAACTTGGGAACCAGAACAGACCAATTGTTGCTGGCATTCTTTTAGTGATGCAATAGAAACTTTATTAAAAGCTGAGGCTTTTTAGTGCAACTTGTAAAACTGATTTACAAAATTATGTCAAGCAATATGAAAATGAGTACAAATAAAAGGGGTGTTTCAAAATGCTGTACCAACAGAAAACACCAGTCTAAGGAATAAGTAGAGGAAAAGCGTGTGTGTGTGGGGGGGGACCCAGAGGTTGGCAGTTGTTCATTTGTTTCAGAATTAAAATACTCTGTATCCAGGCTGGAAGTTTAGTCCTAATTGGTCTCAATTTGAAAGTGAATTATTTCATATAATATATAAAAGAACATGGATGTGGAATGTATTTCAAGGTTCTGTACTGAGACATGCCCATATTACTTAAAGATGTCTCCCCATTTGGACATCAAATAATCAATGGAAATGCAAAACGGCTCCCATCATCTACTTAAGGCAGATGACACATCCTTCTTGAATGGATTCTTTCTAATCACAGATTTCTACTCTAGCATTTCTCAGTTGTCTTTTTGATATGGATATTCCTAAAGAAAATTTACCCATTTTACCATCACATAGATGTTTTCTTTGTGGAGGGATGGCTGGCTGCCTCTCCTCTCCCACTTTTCCAACTCCAACACTCATCTAGTTGACCAACGGAAGCCAGTAGATGTGGTGGTTTTGGATTTTAGCAAAGCTTTTGATACTGTCTCTCACAGTATCCTTCTGGATAAAATGTCCACCACACAGCTAGACAAGTCCATAATACGTTGGGTGAGCAATTGGCTGACGAGTTGGGCTCAAAGGGTTATAGTAAATGGGGTTGCATCAAGCTGGCGGTCAGTCACTAGTGCGGTTCTCCAGGGCCCAATTTTAGGGCCAGTGCTCTTTAATGTTTTTATAAATGATCTGGACGCAGGAATCGAATGTACATTAAGTAAGTTTGCCAACGATACTAAACTAGGAGGAGCTGTGGACTCCCTCAAGGGCAGAGAGGCCTTACAGAGAGATCTGGATAGACTAGAGAGCTGGGCAATCCCCAACCATATGAAATTTAACAAGAGCAAGTGCTGGATTCTCCACCTTGGATAGGGTAATCATAGAACCATAGAATCGTTTAGGTTGGAAAAGACCTTTAAGATCATCAAGTCCAACCATTAACCTAGCACTGCCATGCCACCACTAAACCATGTCCCTAAGCACCACATCTACACGTCTTTTAAATACCTCCAGGGATGGGGACTCAAACACTTCCCTGGGCAGCCTGTTCCAGTGCCTGACTACCCTTTCGGTGAAGAAATTTTTCCTAATATCCAACCTAAACCTCCCCTGGCGCAGCTTGAGGCCATTTCCTCTCGTCCTATCCCTTGTTACTTGGGAGAAGAGACCGACCCCCACCTCGCTACAACCTCCTTTCAGGTAGCTGTATAGAGCGATAAGGGGGTTTGGGTTGATGGCAAGTTGAGTCAACAGTATGCCCTGGCAGCCAAAAGGGCCAACCGTGTCCTGGGGTGCATCAACCACAGCATAGCTAGCCAGTCGAGGAAGGTGATTGTCCCACTCTACACTGCGCTGGTGTGGCCCCACCTCGAGTACTGTGTGCAGTTTTGGGCACCTCAATAAGAAGGACATCAAACTATTAGAGTGTGTCCAGAGGAGGGCAACCAAGATGGTGAAAGGTCTCGAGGGCAAGGCTTACAAGGAGCAGCTGAGGTCACTTGGCTTGTTCAGTTTGGAGAAGAGAAGGCTGAGGGGTGACCTCATCGCAGTCTACAACTTCCTCAAGAGGGGCAGGGGAGGGGGAGGTGCTGATCTCCTCTCTCTGGCGACCAGAGATAGGACACGAGGAAATGGAATGAAGCTGCATCAGGGGAAGTTCAGATTGGACATTAGGAAAAGGTTTTTCACTGAGAGGGTGGTCGGTCACTGGAACAGGCTCCCCGGGGAAGTGGTCATGGCACCAAGCCTGTCAGAATTCAAGGAGTTTTAGGTAGTCCTGCGAGGAGCAGGGAGTTGGACTTGATGATCCTTATGGGTCCCTTCCAACTTGAGATATTCTATGATTCTATGAATACTAGAGTACGACTGCTACCCTTTTTGTCATTGACAGACAGAAAAAACATTCCACATACTTCGACTGTTGTCTTTGGAACAAATGTCTGAGTTTATCTGTTCTCATAGCATGAAAAATATGGTTGCATCACTCTTTATAATACCTCCTAGTATGATCGTTGGTTCATCAATTATTTTAACAGGTCACTGCTGTTGTTCATACTACCAGATTCAAAATCTTCATGGTATGTACCAAATCATTCACATAAGTTTCTAGATGACTCATTCTCAAATGACTGACTCCTCTTTCCAATTCAGACAGACTTTATGCTACTGCTCTAGTTTAAATCAATACCCTGTTGAGCTCCAACTGAAGAGGGTAGAAGAAACCGCAGGAACGAGACTTCCTTGCTGATGAAGACACCCAGGTCACACATCAGGATTTGCACAAGAAAACAGCAACAGATTTTTGTCTGTATTAAACAGGAACATTGAAATATATTGGAAATGCAGATCTAGGCTGTTCTGTGCAAAATTATATTCACCTTAGCTCCAAATTCAACCAGATTTGCTAAATTCTGCACAGACTTGGCAACCAGCGTCAGTGTTCTTGCAGCAGTAGGGGAAGGAGAATCTGATAGGAATACAAAGTAGAGAGTTACTGGCCATTTCATTTAAAACTTCCAGTAGTCACATGAAAGTTAAGCTCTTCTACAATTTGTTATTTATCATGGAATTAAATACTTTGAATGCTGTAACAGAACTGCATGTGGAAAATATCTCATGATCAAGTAAACTTTTGTCGTTTTAGTAATTATGTCCACAAAAAATATTAATACGCATATCTGACTTTCTGTACTAGTTGCTTACAGAACAAAGCAAGTAAAATAAAGTGTTCCTTAGAAGCCTAAGGTTAACAAAAGTTTTATGAATTAAGTGAAAACCCTTTTCACAAAAATCAAACAGCTCTGTTAAAAGGAAGATTATTTGTTGTTAGAATCTAATAAAATAATTAAGTTTACCCTTTTCCTTATTTGCATATACCCATATAAGTAAGTCCTGCATTGTTATGCAAATTATACTTTAAATTACTAGTACCAGGAAAATAGACTAAACATTGCATGCAATCGTGGCTTGTATTTCCATGAAAATATAGCTATTTACTGCACAAATCAAATGCTAGAAACTCCTGGTACAATCACTTGTTGGAAAAAGTTGTTTTAACTGAATAAGAGATTAGTGTTAAGCATAGGGTTTTTTAGTTTGTTTTTAAACAGTTATGGTCAAATCTGGCTTTCCACTTACAGGCCATTTAAGTGTTCCAAAACTGACATGGTTATTATATAAACTCTAAATTTCACGGTGCTTCATAAGAATGCTATATACTCTTCACTGTCTATCTGTATGTTTTGATCGTCTGTCTTTCTGCCCCCTTCCCCGCTCAGCATTGCAATTAATTAAAAAATAAGTTCCAACTTTTTAGGCATAGCTGGAACTTAGACTGAGGCACTAATCATACAACTAATCTCAGTTGTTCATTGCATCTCGTGCTTAGTACTGTACATCCCTTTGAAGAAGCAATGCTGGAAAACATTACTAGCCTTAGAATTGGGAAGTTCAGGTAAAGAGAACTGATCTAAAGAAGTGTATTCTTAAAAAAAAAACAACTAAGAAGGTTGAAATGAAGGACTTAACTTTTTCAGTAAAGATTTTTCAGAACAGTTGTTGAGGTGACAGGATAGGCACACTGCTGCTGAAATTGAACTCTATCTATACACCCAGCCTTCAGAATATTTCCCCTCCCCCTCCCCCTCCCCACCCCATTACAGCACAGAAGTAAGTTAGAAGCTTTGCTCCAAAAGGAAAAGAGCCCACTTCCTTTTTTTTTTTTTTTTTAAACAGCTCTAACAGCCCCATTTAGAGTCCATAAATTTACCTTAGTGAAAATGAAGAATATTATCTGAACTTCTAAACAGGACTAACACTTACAGACAAGCTTAAAAGGGATTACACAAATTTATGGATAACAACTCCATTTACAGCTAAAGACACAGTGGTCTCAATGCAGTCCCCAAGTTAGAAAGTATGTAACTCACAAATCTGAAGATGATAAAAATAATAAAGAAAGGATCACCATATACGAGGCCATGGTTCTTAAATGCTTTCCCCAAAGTGTGTATGAAAATGATTAAAAGGAGAAAGGAACTTTTGGACTGATTCAGTCAGGCCTTCTCATTTAGTATAGCTTATAGAGAGAGTACAGAAAACTTGCTATGTTGTCTGAAAAGCTGCCTATAAAGGCAAAAAAGGAAAAGTTTTTTCCCCAAAGGGTTTCTGACACAAGTGATTTCTGATTTCTTCCTATTTCCAAACCAGTATTTTACAGGTAAAATTGAGAAGGTGTTAGGGAGAGAAGGAGGAAAAACAATGGCTAGTGCAAACCAAATGCACTCTAGGTTGGGATAATCTTTGCCAAACAAAATAAAAGAAAAAAAGGAGGGGGGGCAATGAAACAAAGATCAAGTATAACATATGCAAACTTTTTAAAACTATGGAACTCAGGTGTCCCAATATTTTAGTACTACGGTTTTCCCACCAGTAGTTTATGCCTTTCCTTTCTTCCTCCCACGAGGATGTATTGGGTTTGCGTGGCAAGGTTTTGGTAGGGGGAGGGGCTACAGGGGTGGCTTCTGTGAGAGGCTGCGAGAAGCTTCCCCCATGTCCAATAGAGCCAATGCCAGCCAGCTCCAAAACGGAACCACCGCCGGCCAAGGCCT